CTTATATTTCTTAGACTGTACTATGGTGTAAAAAGCGTAAGTTCTGTTCGATAAGTTAGTGGAGTTGTAATAACATACCAATAAAATGAGTTATCGATTACCACAAACCGAGAGATACCGCAGCGCCCGAAGTTCTGCGATCCTTGTCGGCAACGAGAGCAATTCGTTCTCATCCAATATCAGAAACTTGAGGCCTCTCATTTCGCTGATCTCGTCGGGGATACAACGCAATCGGTTCCCGCTCAGATCCAAACACTTGAGGCATCGCAACCCCGATATCTCCGCAGGCAGCTCCTCAATATCGTTGCCACTCAAATACAAACTTTCTAGGTTACGCAGTTTACCGATATCGTTCGGGACACGCGATATTAGGTTCTCCTTCAGATATATGTCGGTTACAACGGCCTCCTCGCCAATTAGACAGTCGATGGGAAATTTCGTGAAGCCCCTGTAATTCCAATGGAGGACTACGCACGATTTTTCATTCATTTTTAATGGAAAATACCACCGCGTATACAATATAATATCAATACATGCAGTGATATCGAAGGTCGTGATATAACTATAATGTATATTCTTTACATCGTTTCAATTTAAATATTTTCCTTTAGAAATACGAGTCCACGTCCCTCTAAATCACAGCGGAGTTATTAATATTTTCTATTGATTTTTAGACAGATGCTTATGATTACACGTTACAATAAATCCTGAGAACACAATAATATCAGTTTCACATCAAAATTTTGGCGTACAAGTTGATAAAATTAGTTAATCTTCACCAGTTCCGATGTACAGACAAAACATTTTCGTACCAACAAGTTGTGTTTGATACGGGCTTTCTACATTCACGCGTCTTGTACACTGCGTCATGTAACGTGGAGGGCGTACGTGGATTATTTTTAAAACTGTAGCAAGGTCTCTCATCTACTTACCATTTAAAATTAGATCTAGGAGTTCCGAATTCTGTGATTATCGGCAAAACATTATTCGCAGTGGTAATAACGACCTTTGAAGAGAGAAAGAAATGCTTACTATTCTCACGCAGCTTAGGTTTTATAAAAATCCCAAAAGCTGTTTCTCATAACACGACGAAACAAGTCAACGCCAAAAATATACGGAATTTTATCACTGAAACTTTATAGGGAACTTTTCTTGTGAGCGTTGTTGACGGATCAATACCTCGTTGCGAATCGGATTTAAATCAAATAAAGCGATGATGAATCGTCCAAAATAGAAATTGGTAGCCAATAGAGTTGACCTTTGATTTTATGAAACGCTTTAGTACGAAAATAATATTGAAATAAATACTAAAACGGCATTTGACAAGTTTCTAGGTACCTAATGAAAATAGGCTTTAGTTTTTCCATTTTAAAAAAGGAAATTATTTCGACAACATTTCTTTCAGTTTCTTTCTTCAATTATATTATTATATTTTTATTCTTTCACGGCACAGTCTAGTGGATTATTTTTTAAATTTTGTAGCAATGTAAATACAAAAATTTTTACACTTTCACTACATTTGCATAAACGTCAGAAATTTAACATGTAACATACGTATTACGCACGTTTACGCACGTTACACATCTTCAGCCTGTTGTGCTGTGTGATACGCATACGTTGGGTAGTATTTCGTTGTGTGTCTATGGTGCGGCCAAAATAAACAAATCGGTGACGTGAAAAATTCGCGAGTCAAACATGTAAGGCCAGTATTTTTGAAATGCGGCCAAATTTTAGCTAAACGGTCGGCTCGGCGACGCGATTTATTGTTTGTTTAAAATATTTCCACACAGAAATAATCGACAATCGACACATTTGGCGCCAAAGCGGCTGGCTAGGTGCCAGCGCTGACGGAGCTTGCGGGCGTTTCTTAAGGTGCGATAAACAACGAAAACTCACATCACCTGTTGTACGGTGCGAGAAAACACGTGTCGTGAAAATTTATAACTGACCTCATCATCATGTCATGGTGTCAACAAAAACCTTCTGTGTTAAAGATATAATAATGATGGGAGAAAATAATATAATTATATCATTTAATATAAGGTGTGGCATATACTTTTTTGCACCCAGAATGAATTATGTATTCGGCTGTAGTTTGGTGAAGAATGTAATATTTATAATATAATTATGGACATCTGCAATGACTTGCAACTGTCTGCAAAATATGCAACTCTATGGCTTGCTAATGAGTTGACAACCTTTAAAAATGTGGACCCGGTTACCTCAGTCACCAGTAAAGTAAAGTAAAGTAAAGTATCAGCCTATACATGTGCCACTGCTGGGCAAAGGCCTCCTCAGTACAGAGGGTATCAGGGCATAGTCCACCACGTGGCCCCATTGCGGATTGGCGGACTTCACATATGTTCGAAATATATATTTTTTTATTATTATTTCGTAAATATGCAGGTTTCCTCACGATGTTTTCCTTCTTCGCTGAGCACATGATAATTCAGCACTTAAAATTAACAATTTCATTGGTGCCGGCACCGGGATCCAATTCAGGTTGCTCGAGTATATTGAATAAAGGCGAGCGCCCGGACATTAAGCTATCACGGCTCTCATTATCACCAGACGAAACGCGAAATTTTAATACTTTAACTTCTCGTCGGTCTTATATGGTGGTACTTTCCCGGGCTAGCCTGCCCATTCGTGCAACAGCAGAAGTTGTTGGATGGCCCTACCACTGTTGAATTCAAGAAATACGCATTTTCTTCGACAAACCGATTTACTTTAGTCAAAGGTAAAGTCACAGCCAGAATCTTCCCAATTTCCCTATTCAATTCGGTTTTGCCTTAGACCAGTCCTGAAACAATTAAAACAACTTTTTAAAAAACGTTTTGTATAAACTTTATTTATCTATCAATTTTATAAAAAGAAACGTTGGCTAATCGTAAATACTATTCCTTACTTTGTTTATAATTTAGAAGTTAAATACGACTACAACGATATAATGGTGTAATTGAAAAAAGATCTTTTGTTGGGTTTCGTGTACGTATGTTTAACTATCAATTAGTAAGTAAAGAATAGGACTTTTTCCAAAAGTACATTAACATTTATTGTATTGAAATAACATTGTATTGAAATACTACAATAAGAATAAGATACATTAATAGATGAATGATCTTAATAGATACAGAGACACATTCCATACTTGCTAACATGTCTCATAAAAAAACCCACTAAAAATCAGACTTTGAAATTATTATCATTAGGACAAGATATTTAGATTGTACAAAAAGTATTCAAAGTATTCTAGTAAGACATTTTAAATTATTATGAATGTAATTATTACAATCATAGAATTTTGTCACAAAAATCTTCATACGTTTCTTTGTCATATAGATTCTTAGAACTAATCAAAATGACGTGTTATTTTTGTCTAATATTATAGAGTTGTAGACGAAAATTGCTCGCTCGTCCATTTGATTTCTGTAAAATGTTGGTCTCATTCTTTATGTCTACAGACGAAGTGATATAAATACTTTAAGTCTGTACCAAGATACAAGGGGATATTAAAACTGGGCCAATGTAGCCACATTTGATACTATAGGTAGTGGGAAAATAGTTATGCTCTTGAAATATTTTAATCGATATTACATACAATATTCTACGGTTATAAATGAAAAAGCTATTATTTCTAAAGATTTATGGATATTTTGTTTAAATATGCCCTCGGTGAGAATTGAGCACTCTAATCCATACTGTATACTATATTATACTATAATATTATAAATGCGAAAGGTACTCTGTCTGTCTGTCTCGCTTTCACTCCAAAACTGCTGAACCGATTTATATGAAATTTGGTACACAAATAGTCTAGAGCCCGAGAAAGGACATAGGCTATTTTTTAATTGGAAAAAAGTGTTGTAAAGAGTTGAAAGATATTTATTTAAGGACTTCAACGCGAGCGAAGCCGCGGGCGAAAAGCTAGTTATTAATAAACACTTAAAACTTCCGCAGCAGCTGTTGTTCTATTTTGTGTCAAAGTTAAATTGGGAAAAAAAGTTAGTTACAAACTAAAACATTATTTTCTTATGTGTTTATCTCGACATCGTGCCTTATACTACTATAAGTTTTTGGTAAATATTACCTCTTACTGGCATTCCGCCATCCAAGTCTCGGTTAAAAATTCATTCTATTAAAACTTCATATTCCTGTATGTTCTACCACTAGGATTCAAGTCCACGTCTTAATTTAGCATTTAGAATAGTGTCATTCTCAAAATTTATTAGATTTTTTATAAACGATGTTAATTGAAAATGTCAAAGTATTTACAAAACATCTATCTGCATTCATCGAAATGTTTCAATAATGTTAATGTTTTAAATGTTCGTACAAAGAATACATTCACAGTACAAAATTATAAACTTAGGTTGTAACATAATATATATCTACTAATTTTTAAAAATAGAAATAAAGCTAATATTATCGTAATCATCTAAACTTTGTTTGACAACTGGAATTGTCGCTGTGTTGTTTTAAATGAACAAAGTTTGTTCTTGTTATGATGTTAAATACCACATTAACCATTTACATAAACTATATAAGATATAGGTACAGTAAATATACAATACAGATACAATTGACTAGACTCGATCGAATCGTTTGTGACTAGGCATGCTTATGTATTGAATATTAAAATGGAATATTTTTTTCGATGACCACTTGCTCTTATCAAATAAATAAACATTAATCTGTCGTTAATTAGTAGAGAATAAAAATTGCGAAGTAATTTATTAAAATATTATAGTTTTATAGCATCTGCTGTCCATTCGTTGATATCATTTGGTGCAGGTGCATCATGTGCATTCTTGCCGAAGAAAGAGTCAATATAAATCTTTACTTTATAGTAAATCTACCGAATGCAATATTTTAATTAAACCCTAAGAAATGCAATATCACATGTTCATTTTCGTTCCTTTTGGTTTGGTTTTTCTTTTCGTTGAATAGTTCTATCGTACATTTGTGATTACTCAAAAAGTATTGTGAGTGTGAATTTAATATCTGCGTATTATTCGAACGCGACGCCCCCTCCCGTCTTCGTCGTCGCTTTCGAAGGACGACTGTCGGTTGCCAAGCATCAGCGCTTGTATTTCTGGGTTTAGAGGCAGAGCTGGAAATGATGACCGCCTCACCATTGGAACAGGACGAGCGCCTGTAATGACAAATAATTATTACACTCATCTCTCACAAAGTATAAAGTCAAGTACATGAATAATCTATTTAATATTTTCTAGGGGATCCGATAGACGTTGTTCAGTAAAGAAAATTACTGTCTATATACAGCAGGGCAAAGAGAAACTCTGTATAAAGGGCGATAAACAACCACATTGCGGATTGGCATATTTCACATATTTTCGAAATATTTTTTTGTTATTATTTCGAAAACATGCAGGTCTCACGATGTTTTCCTACACAACTGAGCAGGTAGTAGTCAGCAATTAAAATTTCAATTAACATTTTCCTTGGTGCTCTGACCGGAATTTTAACTTAGTTTGCTAAAATATACTTAATTAAAAGCGGGGCATTGAGCTCAAAAATGAAGGAATAATATATTTTTATAATAATGTCGTTTAAATAACATCATTTGCGGTTGTGGGTAGGTTAGTAGGTAGTGTTATTCTTCAGAGCTTATTGTATTTAATTTAGTACTCTTGGCTTAAATATAAAAAAAATATAATCATCCTTATATTCTGTAAGCTATGTTTTGCTGCATTTGATTATATATTGCAACGTCAACGACAAGATTATTTACTGTTTGTAAATTGATTAAACAACATGATTCTATTTTATCCATTTCAGATTTCGATTCTTTGGCTTTCTGTTTGACAATGAATACAGAAAAAACAGCTTTGACAACGAATACGATCATATAAATAAATGGGAACTTTATCAACGTACTTAATTTTTTACAACGTGCTTTGAAAAAAATTTGTGCATTTTTTTGCAGAGAAATTAGTGCTTCGTTACTCCATATCCGCATCAGCGTTACTGCTTATGCAACGTATTTGCATATAAGCCGTGGCATTATACTACGTCTGCTTGAATTGCATATGATGTATTAAATTAGCGTCAATTACTTCTAGCTTAGTTCATACTAGGAAATTTCTTTATTAATTTCTTCTATATTAATCAGTCAGTAATGTAATTAATAAATAAATGGGTATATCATTTACATAAAATAACCCTTACAATAATACATTTTTATCAACTAAGTAAATCAAACCTTAACGATGGAAGGTTAAAAAAGACTTAAAAATAATGCCTAACATCTGAATTATGACCGTTTTTTTTAAATAGTTATTATATATTTTTAAAAAGAAGTTGATCAAATGGGCTCAACAGCCTACGGTTACCACTACCATGCCTTTGAAATATCAACTAAAACTTACTTCTTTTGTAAGTTGTGTACGTCAATTTTCAAAGCGAAGTTTTTTTTACGTGCTAGAGTTATATAATATTAGATAAATGGATTACTCCAGAAATTCAATTTACAGACATTGAGCCAATAAGGGCTAAACATCCCCACCTGTATAAGGTTTGTCGGTATCGCGTCTTAGACGTAAAATATCCCCTTGAAACAATATACACGATTATAATAGAACTAATCACGCATATTTTATGGATTTTCATTAAATATACTAAATTAAAATGTTGATGCTTCATGTATCTCAACATCACAGTAAATAGTGAAAATAAAGTCTATTTTACCATGTTTCATTTAATAGAAATCAATTTAATATAACGCTCTTTTTTCTAGTCTTAAAACAACAAGAGAGTCTTCTATTAAATTGGTACGTACAAGTTATCTACGCTGAAGCAGGTTACAAAGCTATGCTTCTGTGGGCGGCCGGCACAAGAATGCCAGTCTAAGCGGGCTTCCTTAAGAGCACTTTGGATTTTGATTTGGAGTGTATGGAGAGGACCTGATTCAACGGCCGAGTGTTGAGAGATTCTGAGGTGAGGATGCAAATGTGTGCGCTCGCGTTCCGTTTGAAATATCGCTGTAAAACATATAATTGTCCACCCTTGAACAACTTATTAGATCAGTGCGGTTACCAAGGGCGGATCCAGCTTTGGTGGTGGGGGGGGGGGGGGGTCACGTAGTCGTGGTCAACTGATAAGAAGTTATTGTTGTGTAAGTATGAGTTAGTGTTGAGGGTATTATAATATAATTTATATACACAACAGTTATAATTTAATTTTTATAATCATAGAGACAAGTAAAAAGTAGGTATTTTTAAACAACTTCAAAAAGAAGGAGGTTATCAATTCGGATGTTTATATTTTTTTTATGTATGTTCGGTCATACCTTCGTCATATATAGACGGATTTGCAAAATTTTTTGTTCGTAACAATTCGTTGCTTTTTATTATTACATATTATACAGGGTGGCTTTTATAAAGGTGCCCAAATTCACACAGGACATTCAAACTCGCTATTATAACAGTTTATAGAAATAAAAACAAACCTTTTTTTTTAATTGGCATTCTATTCCCTAAAAACAGAACTTGTTGACAATGCGGTAGTCATTCATAAATGCGTCGTATACTTTTGAAACGAACTTGTGTGCGTGTTAGTTATGAAATAAATGAGTTGCCCATAAATTACGTACTTTCTGAAATAAGTTCAAATGAATGTAATTAATTAATTACGAGTGATTTTAAATTTTTTTATATATATATATTTATGTATATTTATCGTTTTTTTATAACTTTAATTATGTCTAGAATTTAATAAAAAAAATGGATACACTTAGAAAAGCCTCCCTGTATAGTATTTTTTTAAGTAGCTATTGGTGGGCTTACTTATATATGTCATTTCTTTTTATTTATTTCTTCGTTACCAGATTTTATGTAGTTGTATTGGTTATAATATTTTTCAATTCCTCTACTCCGCACGCTGGCTCCACTTCAATAATGGCACATGGGTTAATAATAATATATAATCAACCCAAATGAAAACTCCTAAAATAGCCGTACACAAAATAAAAATTTCATCGTCCACGTTAAAACAATGTTCATAAATAAGAAAAAAAATATTTATTCAGTCATTCATTCATCATATTCAGCGCTCATCCATCTAATCCATCTAATCACAGACAGAATCCACTTTCATAACAAACGGAACGAACTAACTTTATTTCCCAAAGATGGGGTCGCATACTCACGTCCACTAAACCACCACCTCTCACCCATCACCCATCAAAAACGATCCACCCATTAAGACGAATCAAACTCGACGCAGTTGTGTTCCTTAATTACTGAGTTCCTATGGCCACATTCCAGCTCTGTCATCAGACACTTATTACCATCTAGCACTAAAGAACTCGTCATAACGAATCAAAAGAGCCGAGACATAATAGGGTTGCGTCGTTTCTTTACTAAGTTCATATGACTATCTTCCAGCTCCATCATCAGATCAGACCCTGGTAATCATCTAAAAATTAAGTACTCGCCAAGAAGAAACAAACGAGCCGCAAATCGATGGGGTTGAGTCGTTTCATTACAGAGTGGTCATAAGAACCTCACAGAATAGCCTCATAGACATCATAGAAGATCGACTTCTGCGTTTTGTCTGGTGAGTGAGGTACCTGGAGCCCACTTTATTATAAGGAGAAAACGCATCTGCAACCCTATGCATATGTCCATGGACGGCTGAAGATGGAGCTCCATCATAAGATCCTGGTTACGTATGAAAGACAAGTTTGTCTTCGCGTATTACTACTTATGAATCGTATTGACGCGTAGTTACGCGTCAATACGATTCAAAAGTACCCAAACGCGTTGAGGCTCTGTCGTTTCATTGCAAAGTTCCTTTGGCCACCTTCCAGCTCCATCATCAGATCAGCACCATGACATAAAAATATTGCATTGTCTCGTGATTTACACATGTATACAAAATTTCAGCTCAACCGGTAACCGGGAAGTAGATCAAATTTAATTTGCAAGATTTGATGACAAACATTAAAATATTGTAAAAATGTTCATAAAATGAAAACTACTTGGCCAAACTATGGTAAATTTTAATGGGACCAAATGGCAACTATTCTACACAAAACTAAAGAAGAATCACGTAAATCGGATCATAAATCTCAACATAATCGGTGTATTTATCGAAAAAAAAAATACCAATCAAATTGAAAAACTCCTTCTATTGGAAGTTGGTTAAAAATATTATATTAATTTAAATTAATATTGAAGGTACTTACTTAAAATCTATACTGTGGCAAAAAAATATATAAAAACATTATGTTTGACAATTTTAATTAGTGTTCCACCTAGGTCCTGGACCCAGCCCAGGGGGGGGGTCATGACCGCCATGACCCCCCCCTGGATCCGCCCTTGGCGGTTACACAGTCATCGATCGCTGTTACAAGCGTGGGCTACGGTTACCCCACTCTCCAGATGAAACTTAAAAGTATACTTAGTGGTTCTACTTTACGCCAGTCCTCTATGAGGTCCCGGTAGTTCTGAAATTATCACAGATTTTAAATTGGTATAGAAAAATGATGCATCATATTTATTTTTGGTTGCAGTTTATCTTGTTTTAATATTATTATATAATAATAGTATATTATTTATTTCACTTTTATCCAATTTAAAGTTTACAGTAAGAATAAATTATAACAAGGATTCTGTAAAAACAAAATTTATTAAATATAAGCATTTTATATGCTAAATTGAATTACATGCAGTTTTAAAGCATCGTGTTTAAAGGTTATAAATTACTTACCGCATCGACGAATATTGTAAACATGATTGCATTTCGGAGTTTTTTTTTAACATTTGAGATATTATAAATAACATATTAACCAGTAAACAATAAATACCTTTAATCGAGCATGGTGTAAAAATGTATAGTTTTTTTAGTTAATTTATTTTAGATTTATAGATTTTAAAATAAATTTGGCGCAGATTCGGTAAAAAATTATACAAAATGTGGAAAAGCATTGTTTTTCTTAATTTAATTCACGCACGACTTAAATCAAAACTAAAGAAACAGTTTTTGGATACCAGTACGTCATTATATCCCAAAGCTGTTTCACTGAGGCTAAGTATCCCGTGGTAAATGAACATTAACTTAAATTGTAATTAAACATGTAATTGGACAATGGAAATATTAAATCAGGCCGCTAAGCACAATAAATATAAATTAAGCGGCCACAATATCACCTTCGGCTCACTTTAAAGTTATCAAATAAAAATAAAATTTTCATTAAAAACATCATTTCAATTGTATGTAATTTTAAATGATTTGATTTATTGAAATAGTATTATACTAATAAAATTTGAAAAATTTTTATTGCCTTCGAGATTTCACTTAGACTTTATTAGTATATGAGTACATTAATGAACAAAATTTTATAAAACGATATTTTTCTGAAGTTTTTTTTGGTTCTTCTAGAGACTATTAATGTAGCTAGGTATAATAACAATATGACTAAACAATGTGAATTTACTACTTAATGGTCATTATAAATAATTATGAAAATGGATGACCCAACTCAAAGCGAAGAATTCGTGCAATTGCGTCTAACTACAAAAGTTAAAAAAATCATTACCTTAAGGTCTTTCATTCGTCAGACAGGCCTTGATTAGTAAAACAGAAAATTAAAATCAATGATAGTAAAGATAGATTAGATAAACATTTACATTCACATCGGATCATTTGGAACAATTAAAAAAAAACATTAATATGTGTTAAGAAACATTAAATGTTAAGGAAAGATGAAACACGCACATTTACCGTGCTCTCACATCATACAGAAAATTATTATAAATAAATGATAATAATCAGGTACGTACCGAAGAGTTTTGCAACTGATTGTCTTTTCGCTAGTTTGACCTCGGCTGGTGTGTCAACAACGGACGCCGGCGCCGAATTCTCTCGGCGTTTCTTGTCGCTCAGATAGGAATTAATCGAGTCGCCTCGCGTGTAAGACTTCCGAGTTTTCCTCTCCTCCTTGGTCCCCTCCTGGGGCTTTGTTTCTGCTATTTGAAACAGTTGCAGACCGAACTTGCTCGACTCCCGTCGCAAATTCTTCTTATTAGCGAACTCAGCTAAAGAGTGCCTCCTTCCCCCGTCCGGGTTGAGTTTCCTCTTCGCCCGTTCCTCTTCCTTCGCTTTGAGCACGTCTAGGACGGCGTTCAGTATCAATATTATGAGGAACGTTGTTATACCAATCACCGTGACGGTGTTGTTGTCTGGCTCCATGCTCTCCTTGTCACGCTTCCTCCGCTTGGTCAAAGGCCGCTCCGTGAACACTTGCAGCGCACTGCACGCGTCTTTCAGTAGACGCGGCGCGCTCTTCGTCTTCTTTCCCGCTGTCCTCGCCGTTCCGTTCGCGATTATTTCGGGCGCGAACTTAACAGTTTTCGCGCCGCTGTCAACCGACGCCCCGTCAGCGTTGCGTGTCGTGAACCACATGTTGACGCAGTACACGCCGTACAGCAGCGCGGAGAGAACGAAGAGTAGCATCTTGCGTTCGTTCATGTTTACATCGCGGGTGCGCCGCTTTCGTTTTGACGGATAAGCGGACGCGTACCGTTTCGGTGCGGACGAACGCAGCGGCGGCTGACACTAGACTTTATTGTTTCGTTTTATAGTCCTCCCGATCTATTTGCTTCGATTCTAAGTGCGCAGAGAGCCCGTGCTACGTCGAGCCTTAATTTGTGGGCCGCGGCCACTACCCTCTGCGCATGTGCGGGATTTCAGCTCGCTCGCACGGGTCGAGTTCGATGTTGTCACAACTGTTAGTACGCCGGCACACAGCGATGACAGCACCAGTGTTCCGTACTGCTTTGACACCAAACAATAGATGCTGTGTAGTCATAAACGAGCCGACACGAGTTTTCCATAGTTATATTTAACTTCTAACTCTGTTTTTGAACTTAATTTAACACGTCGTCATTAGTTGCCCCAGTACTGAATTCACAGTAACATTTACTCGCTATGTTGCTAATTCACTATAAAACTAGAAGTCAAATGAACTAAAAAACAAAGAATTTAAAACAGATTATTCAAGTACGTATATAAATAAAGACTTCCGCCATCAGATCAAGAGTATATTATAATTATTGAATTTCATGAGATAAATCACTCAAAACTTACATTTAATTAACTCTCATTAAAAAAAGGCTAATAATAATATAATTATTTGTATTTTGAATAGTACGAAAAACATACGAAAAACATACGAAACTTTTGTTATTTAGATCTATCTACTATCTTATCTCATGTCGTCTTGTTAATACATTATGCACAATTTATGACACTATTCATACCGAGGCTACAATGTCAGAATATTTAATTACTTTCACAATAAGTTCCACAAAGACTATTTCAGCGTATTTTAAATATACAGAGAAGCAGCTCGCGACGACGCGTTAATAATTCGACTCGACAAATACTTCCTATTGTTTGTTAACACGGCGTCCGATTTTATTTATATACCCTACATTTATCAACTAACCAGATACTGGTTAAACTCACTAAGAAAGATTCCTTTGACAAAACCTTTGAAAAAACTTTTAACCTTTACTGAAGTCCTTCAAACATAAAAATGATAAGAATTCCATTGATATATTTAATATAGAAGTTTATGTCATCGATATTTGTCAGATTTACACCCACTTTTTTAAGCAGGCGTTGAATATGGGCACGGAGATAGTACGTACAGTGATTTGAAATGCGGGGTTATATTTAGATGCATTCAGTTTTATGGCAGCGATACATGTAAACACATATGTTAGCGATGATGTTAATATTATCAAAGATGAAGACTTGCAGCAATAGCTTTTAGTACAAAAATAGACTTGAAACGAACTCATATGATAGAACTAAACATGATGCATGGATCAGATGTTTGAAGATTAAGAATAATTTAAAAACTTTAATAATGTGTAAGTAAAATATTAATTAGATAGCAAGGTAAACTATTAAACACAGGCACTCAGTCCACGCCCAGTGTAAGAATAAAATTAATGCTTGTGGTGTTTGATACTTTCTAAAATGTTTTTTATGCAATTTTTTTATTCCCTATTTCGTACGTAAAATTGTGTTCAAATACGGCTACGCATTTGTGACTGGTGTTGCGAGTGTCCGTGTGGGCGGTGAACACTTCAAACGAGGTGGTAAAAATCTTGATCTTTTTTATGTGAAAAGGTGGCAAGCCAGCTAGCGGTTCACCTGATGTTAAGTGTTAACCACCGCCGATGGAAATTCGCAACACCACGTGCCACCTCACTCACCAGACGAAACTAAGCAGTACAACACTTCCACTTCACGCCGGTCTTTTGTGAGGTAGTGGTACTTACCCGGACGGACCTGGCCAATCATGTAACAAGCCCTTTGTTGTTTTGACTGATTTGTATGTGTATAATAGATGACATTTGTATAATATTAAGCAACACACTATAAATAGTGTCGTTTATAATAGTAGGCGGTCTAAGTGCAAATATTTTTTTGTTTGGATAGTTCTTCGTTCACTATTGACCTTTAGGAGGACTTTAGAGAACCACCGGGCGTGAGGAGGCCGGGCGCTGAGGGCGTCTAGCCTGAACCTCCTTTAAGTGTGAGTCGAGGGCCCCTGAGGGTGCCTCGGCTCGGGCCATCACTCTTAATATTAGTACCGGGTTGGGAGGCCGCACTTAGGTCGCTTTGGCGAAGGTCCCCCGAGAGGGGACCTTCGCTAGGGCTGTTACTCAATACCAATTTACCATTCCGATTCGACGACGCCCGAGTGCGCCGGCTCGTCTTGATCGGTAGCTATTATCTGACTAGCAAGCTGTTGTAGCCATTTCTTCTTAGTCGGACACTCTTGGCAGAGTGCTCGTGGGTGTCGATGGGTAGGACTGCGTCTAGTCGTCGCTGCTCGCTTCCATGGCAGCCGCACGTCTAGCGATATTCCGCTGTTAGCATTGCGAGCACATTGTACTGCGGTGGCTTTCGTAGTAGTGGTGATGAGGTCAATCCAGCCATTGTAGCCTTTTAGGAGTGTTTTTGTATCGAGACACGATGACTGATGTGCGTCCCTTTGATGAATGATGATGATAGGTTATCTATTGAGCAAACAATAACCCGATGGTTTCAAGAATATCATTTTTTTAATAGATTTATATAGGACTTTCATATTAATGTGCAAGAAATTACAATTCTACGTGACAGTATGTAGTTTGGTTAGCAACTAATATATTTTATGACACCGTTATCTCGATATGTTTAATCAATAACTGTCCCCATGTCAGTTGCCCTTGGATAGTCATTTTTATTGAAAATAAACAAACGATGCACAGTGTTGTTTGATTTTTAGTATTCCCCGATGTGGTCATATTGAGTGAAATGTTATTTACGGAACCCTTTTTTGTCAAGATTACTACAACTTATCTTTCCCCGTTCACCTAATTCATTTAGATCTTGCATGCATTTTAAAGTTAGCTTAATCCAAATTATTATATATTTTAATTTTACCAATGAAATTTTAATAGCTCTTTAACTATGAAATTTTGACAGCTCCTTAAGAAGTCATGCCATATGAAACTGTTGGATATAAAGCGTCAACGACATTTGCTATATTCGTATCATATTTCATTCTACTTATCTCCAGACACACTTGACTTGAAATAAAAATGAGCTGACATTCAGAGTATATGAGTTTAATTTAGAGCATCAATATTGTCTAGATTACGTCGGTTAAGACTTTTTATTAAGAATGGATTCGCATCCATTCTTCATACTTATACCCGATCAAATAAATTGTAACTCTAAACATGTAATTGTACTACCAAATGAAATAGTAATAGTTTACCTAAAAATGCATGTTAGCCTTTATTGCGCCGTTTTAACGCGCTATAATTGGCTTTATACTATATGTGTAATGTATGTTCTTTGTATATATAATAAGGTATGTACTCTGTATGCTTTCGATGAAGTTTTCAGTTTAATTTTCACTCAATTGGCATATATTAATAACAGTACCTGGAGGACCTTTTTTGGTCAATCTTGTATTTTGGAAATAAAAAAAAAAAAGAAAAGATCTGGTATAGAAAAAAAGCAAAAAAATAAGTGTGTAAATGATCGTGATACGAACCGCGGCCGTCTGTTTTGGGGCTGCCCGATTACCGACCGAGCTATTATAACATTTTTTTTGCTGCGAAATTTACTGTCACATTCGAATGCTATTTTTCAATCCCTGAAAATAGGTATAAGAGGAAATTTTCTAAAAATGAAACCTAGCTAGACCGATTTTGCGCCCCATACTAGAATCTACGCACATAGTAAATTTCATGAAAATCGCTGAAGCCGTTTCCGAGATTCCGATTAAATATAAATACAAGAATTGCAAAAAAAAAAAAAAAAACAACAATTGCTCTTTTTAAGGATAAGATTATATTAAGAGTCGTTTTTATATATTTTGATGTCTTTTTTCTACCACACTTATTATATCAGATTAGTAAATTGATACAGTCCACACAGCAGGCCTTTAAGTTTTAACCATTTAATTTAATTGTCTGTTAATTTTTTTTATTAATGTGTGAATGACGGAAAACATTTCTATAAAAATCTCGAATGATTGATAATCACATTTTCCAACGTTCCTATCACTCGTGTGTGTTGCTTGATTAAAATCGATCTCCGCGACGTGGATAACGCAATGCGACCCTATAAAATGCAACGACAAAAAAACAGCATTCCGATATTGCATTGCAGAAGGATTTCCATTTCGCGCCTGGCCACATTCCGTCGCATATTGAAATATGCGGGCGGCGCGTTATTCCGTCCGATTTTGTAAGTGAATGGGGTAAAAGTGCAACGATGTCGCTTTGCCGAGATTCTCGTAGATGTGGTTATGACGCCACAACGCAGTATATAAATAATCAGCGTTATATATTCTGACGGTACTGCGACCACAGTCTATCATTTATAATATACCAATTATGACATCAAATTCGGTGAAGTTTTGTCATTTTTGTTGGGTTTCTCGAAACGAAACGGGGAATTGGTTTCCCAATCAATTCTTGTTGAACAGAAATAATGTATTTAATACTTATCTATAAATGTTCATAACTTCTAATAAATTTCATAGCGTATAACATTATTGGCGGTATGTAAACTTACTGAGAGAAGCATGTTATATTTGTGCGTGTACCTCCACTTCTCTGGATGGTTAGTTCACTGGCAGAAAATGCCTTTGGCATTAAGTCCGCCTTTGTACAAAGATTTGTTATTTTTGTGCATAAAGTTTAAAATAAATAAATGTTGGAGGGGTCAAGAAGTGTGCAAACGCAACCTCAATCTCATCCTAACCTACTGCGGATACGCAGAGTTTATGTAGTAATATTCATAAAACTTATACAATTCCAAATTTAATTTCGTTTATGGTTAACATGTTGTTATTGTTGTGAAATACAAAGTAATAATCTTTTAATATTATATAAAAAGTTGCTTTTTAGGGAACGTCGAATTTTATTTGGTCGTGGTGTGACAGGCATTCC